GGGAGGACTCGGACGAGGGTTCTGCATCTGATGCAGAGATGGGGCCAGGATCACCGGAGAGTTGTGTGCTGACTCCAGAGCCTCTGGAGTCTGGCAGCAGTGAGGCAGAGGAACAAAGGGACCCTGTTCCCAGTGCGCATGTGCGCAGAGCTACTAGAAGACAAGAGCAGCTGAAACAAAAGAGGCGACTCAGCAGTAAGGCTTGGAAGTGATTTCCCTCCCCCTAAGGTATAAAGGAGGTGCAAAGATAGAGAAACCTTTGCAGGAAGCAAAGTCGTTTGCTCTGTTTGGATTAAACCTTGAAACTCTGTGTGGACTTTGTACTTTGGTTGGTTGTTTTTCAGTTAATTTGGCACTTTAGTTGTTGGCAGCAATTCAAAGGAGATAAAGGTGAGTACTTATCTCAAGGGACTGTTTGGAACTCATTACAGGTTGGGAATGAACATAATTCCCAGTGCTGAAATAAAACAAGTGTTATTTTGACTAAGCACGTGCTTAATTACAGTCACAGGAAGCCTTGGTCAGAACATTCTTCATCAAAAACTTCCTGGAAGTTGAGATGTGTGATATCCCCAGCATTCAAAGATTGGGTCCCAACATATCCAAGGTGAGCTTATTTGGGAAGCATTGTTCCAGAACAGTATTTCCCAGGTGTAATCCCAGGACCTTTGGGGGACCCTCCCCAAGGCCCCCTTCAGGGACCTATGAAATCAAAATTACTTGCCAGTTATGTTGAAATATAATGCAATATGAATATCCCATCAAACAATTGTGAGAAGCAGCAGAGGCAACAAATGCCTCGATTTAATTTTTAATATGATAAATAAATATAACCCATACAAACAAAAGCTCTTTTAGAGTCTTCATAATTTTTAAAAGTGAGAAGGGGTACTGAGAAGAAAAAAAAGTTTAAGAAACATTGCTCTATAATCAAATGTCATTTAGAATAGATCTCAAAGTATTACTTCAGCAGTAGCCTTTTGTAAAGTGTATATTCACTTGAATGAAATTGATTAAAGGTATTTGAGAATTAAGAAATGAATGTAATTAGCACTCAAATGATTCTTTTGAGAAAAATAAAACGACAGAGTGCTCCACTAATTTTATCAAATTCTCTGCTTGTGCATGTGTAGACTATATTTTTGGTTTTTAAAAACCATATATAAAAATGCTCTGATTTCCAACAGACTGCATCAGTTGAGGTGTGAATTTCTGCTGTTCCTCTTAACGGGGTGTTAGATTTGAAATCTAGTTCAGTTCAATGAAATCCTAAAAATATTAGACAAGTTGTTCAAATCACCACAACAGTGCATAAGCCATTAAGATATAATTTGTACTACCTACTGTTCTCATGATATTTTCATTTAATCCCGGGTTTTAATAAATTAATCTTTAAGATTTTGATAATTCAGGTATAGATGGTAATAATCATGAACAGAAAAAAACAATCCTTTAGTCTTGATCAAAAACTGTTAATATGAATAATAAGGTATATATGAAAAGGGTTTGTTTTCTATTTCTCTTGCCTTTTCTTGTATGTTAGCTGTGGCATTATACAGGGTTTGAAATTTTTTGAGGATGTGAAGTTTATTTTTATATGAATTTAATAAAATCACATTTTCTGATGTTATTTATGATATTGAACCAGAATGCATGCGTATAATAAAATATAAGTTTTCCAAAATTTTGCAAAGTAATATTGAACTCACAAATTATGCAAAAATATATCAGATAAAAAATAATTATGCAAAAATATATCAGATAAAAAAAGGGTTTGCATATACTGCACACACACATCAATGCAAAGAAGTATTACTGGGGAAAAACTGAATGCCAAAAGCCTAGAGATTAAGAACATTGCAAAGAATACATACCAATTTTTGAGTGGATTCCTTATTTTTTTAATTCTTTGATTAGCTGGAGTTACAAACTGATGGAAAACTCAAAGCAAATTTAATTGGCAAAAAGAGAAAAAAGAAAAAGCAAAAAGACCCAGACTCACCAATATTTTAGTTGATTTAGATAACTGATGGAATAGTTGCACAATGAGATTTATAACATAGTAATAGCAAACTAACAGTGGATGTAATTTAACATTAAGAATAAAACTAGCTTATCTGTGTTGAAGGTGTCAACAAGTATTGGAATTATGTTCAAGGCAGGAGTTCATTAAAAAGTCATTAGTAGTTTCAGCTGTCCTTGCACTTTCCTGGGAATGCTTAATTGCTTTTACATACTATTGGTTTAGTGCAGGAGCAGGGGTGGGATTCTACCAGTTCAGACCAGTAGAACCGGTTGTTATGATTCTGCACAGTTCGGAGAACCGGCAAATCATACCACTGGCTGGCTCCCCCCTCCCCTCCCGCCCCACCCAGGAGGCTTCCCTGAGGCCAAGTCAAAGGCAGTATTCAGGGGGTTGGGGGAGGGAGAAGTGGCCTGAGACCAGAGCTGAACCTTCCTTAGGATTGAAACTTCTATTTTTCAGTGCAGACTCAGGCAGCAGATTGCAGAAACATAAATCTGGGAGTGAAGCTGTGATTCTGCAAGCAGCTCAATTTGCCTGTCTGCTTTGCCTGCTTTTGGGTAAAAGTTGCTCTTTTTTTAAAATAAAAAATTCAATCTTTACATATATATTTACAATATTTACATACAAGCTACGCCCAGCCAGTCACATGAACACCAAGCCACACCCACAAATTAGGCCACACCCACAGAACTGGTTGTTAAAAAATTTGAATCCCACCCCTCTGCAGGATTGTCAAACAGATGCAGCCCACAGGGTGCTTAGTTCTGGCCTGCAGGGCCACCCTGGAAACAGCGAAGGACCAGCCCATGGTGCCTCTGCCAGCGCAAATGGAGCTCAGGAGGGTTGCATGTGGCACTCTGAGCGCTGTTTCACTGGCAAAGGAATGCAGGAGGACAAAAAGCGATATTGAGCTGGCCACACACACCCCGGCCATGTGCCCCAAGGTCAAATACAACCCTGCTGCAGCCTTCAATGAAATTGAGTTTGACACCCCTGGTCTAGCAGCTGGTGTTCAAGGAGAAATGCTAACATACTGAATAGTATTAAAAGAAAAATCTTTTTGTTATAAATTATCAATGTTTCCTTATTCCCAGTTTACATAACACTTACAAACATTAAGCTTTTGTTTAATCCTTAATATCTTTATTGTGAATGATCTTGGAGCACTGTTCCTCTTATAAAACTCTGAGTATGTGTTTTGAGAAAATAGATCTAATACTTTTCACAATTTCCTCAATCAGAACAAATAATGTTAAAAATTAAAAGTAGAGACTTTTACCATCCCCCCCCCTAAAATTGGCCTGGCCATTGGATATCTGGGAATGAATCACAAGGTTGGAAGGAGCCATTTAGGTTATTAAATGGAACCTCCTTCTTAGTGTAAGAATCCAAACTAATACATCCTAAACAGACTGTGATCTAGTTTATGCATGAGCATATCCAATTAAGAAGAGCCTACCACTTTTCAGGATAATTGGTCCACTGTTGTGGAACCAATTATTGTTAGGAGGATTTTCCCACCTTAATATGTAGCTGGAACCAGGGGTGGGATTCTACCAGTTCGCACCTATTCACTAGAACCGATTGTTAACATTCTAAGCAGTTTGGAGAACCGATTGTTAGAAGAAATTACTGGCCTAATCCTGTAAGGAAGGCAGGAAGGAAACATTCTGGTGTTGCTTACAGAAACTGCCTCTCCATTAATCCTTATTACATTTTTGGCAGGATTAGACTTCTAGTTCAGGAATGTCTCTGGAGTTTTTTTCCCCTCCTTTGTTGGTACTTTGCTTGTGTGGAGTGACCATTTAAAGTTACAATGGCACTGAAAAAAGTGACTTATGACCATTTTTCCCATTTATGACTGTTGCAGCATCCCCACAGTCATGAGAGACCAGGCGAGGAGATGCGTGCCTCGATGTGAGTGATATTGAGTTGGCCACGTCCAGCCAATAACCACCAAGCCATGTCCACCCAGTCACGTGACCACCAAGCCACGCCCACCACCTAAACCATGCCCACAGAACCGGATGTTAAAAAATTTGAATCCCACCCCTGGCTGGAACCTGCCTCCTGTTGCTTAAAGGAGCCATGGTGGCTCAGTGGTTAGAATGCAGAGTAATTCTGCTGACTGTCAAGGGTTCAATTCTCTTGTGCTCAATGTTGATTCAGCCTTCTATCCTTCCGAGGTTGGTAAAATGAGAATCCAGATTGTTGGGAGCAATCCATAAACCATTTACAGAGGGCTGTAAAGCACTGTGAATTGGTATACAAGTCTAAGTGCTTTTGATATTAAAGGGCAGGTTGTAGCTACATATTAAGGGAACAAAAGCCTTAGTTGTGGAAACTGACACTAGTTTGTTTTGAGACAAAAATTGCCACAGTGCCACATACAGTATATCATTATAGATGAATTCCTGGAACAAAGGCAAGATAGAAATTTAACCAATAACTTTTCTTTGGTGGCACCTGTGTTGTGGAATCTTTTCCCTCCTGAGGTGAGGATATGCCAGCAAACCTGATGATTCCAGGGGACAGGTGAATTGCCGATGTGGATCCTTTCATATAAACATCCCTTGTCTCTTATTTGTTTGTTCTGGTTTTTTTTAATAGTTTATGTTTTTATAATTAATGTGATTTTATATATTTATTCAGTGTTTTAGCTTTGTTGTATACTGCCCCCAGTTGCCTTTGGTGAGAAGGAAGGCTATATAAATAAATAACCAATAAATAAAATGGCTTTCTTTTTGTCATTACAGTTAAAACTTTCTGAGATGGATCATTTAAATTTTGAATTGAGATGAAATTGATTTCCCCAAAGCCTCCCATTGACATTGATGTCCAAATTGGAAAGATGACAAATACAAGGTTGTTTCAGCTGCAGTCTGGTTTGCACTCTGATGTAGGAGTGATATTTGTCTCAACCTTGACTACTATTGAGCAAATCTGGGAAATCAGGGTTATACTAATCCTTCAGCATTAACATATATAGATTTCTTTTGGCGATGTCATATTAATACCTAAACCCTAAGAGGGCTGTAACTAACAATTTGGTTAATGTAGATTTCAGTGTATAAATTGTTTTACCCAATCAACTATCTTCTTCTATCACAGGGTGTCAAACTCGTGGTGTGATGACCCATAGTCTCTCAAAATAACCCAAAACCCAAAAACATATATTAAAGTCCCATAAAGCCTTCAACTTAACTTCACTGTTTTAATAGGCACAGTTTAAAGTCACAAAAGTAAATAAAGAGGCAAACAGAAAACCAAAACAAACCACATTGATGAGAGTTCTGAAGCAAGCCGAGATAACTAATCATAAACTCCAGGAAAATAACTGAGAAAAGTCCATGGGAAGAATGCCAGCAAAGATAAACCTCTTTCAGGGTAAACACTAATTGACTCCAGCAATTCTAACTACGTACTTGCAAACTTATATACATAGCTCCCACCTGCAAGCCACGAGGAGGATCATGGTAATCTCCTCTTCAGTAAACCTCACTTTCCCCTGATCCTCTCCTCCCTGCATGACCTAGGATGGATAGGGGATGGGCCTGGATCCTCCTCTGACTGCTCAGCCGGCCTCTGCCGTTCCCCAGCCTCCTCCACCACCTCTGGAGCCACACTCCCACTTCCTGTTGGCTGTTCCTCCTCTTCCTCAGAGTCAGACTCCACCAGGGGCATGACACGTGGCCTGTGGGCTGGATGCATCATATACTGGCCACACTCATGCCCGGTTTAGCAAAGGGGAAAAACATTGTGATACATCACGTGACAACATCGTGACAACACCCCTGTTCTACCACATACAGTATGTTGTCCTCATGTACTTTCTCTTTCTTTAGCCTTTGCATGTCTCTAACTTCCATGCTGCTTCTCTTATCCACCCATCAATGTCCCCTCATCTCTAATGTAACCTTTAGGTTCATTTAGCATTAAAGATGACACCATTTCAGGTTCTGCTAACTTAAGTAATGATTATATGGGAATGGGAGTTTCACTAGTATTGCGGCACAGGGATAGAAAATATTTAGCCATTTTTCTGTTCATTATTATGACTGCAGGGTTGATTTTCATTATGACTACAAAAAAGGAGGAAATGACTTATTCTCTGTCCAGGTAGTGCAATTCCAATAAAATCTACCATTCCTTTCCCCTGATATTAATGAAATAAAATTTTGACATGATATGCTTGATATATTTAGCATAAAATCTTCTTTGATCCTGAAATCAATTCTTGATGTCTTATAACCAATGTTATAAGCTTTCATGCTACAGAGTTTATATAGATATGTCATTTGATTGGATCATTTCCCACATTTAAAACTACAGAAAACAGTCCATAAACTACAGTTTGCACTGAAAAATTCAGAAGTCTTAGGTTCACACAAATAGTTAATGTTGGCTCTTGCAGATGTGAAGTTAATGAATGTAATCTAACACATCTTGAGATAAACTAATATGCATATTGATATAAACAATAATTCCAGTCTTTTAAGAGGAGAAATCTGGTGTTTATTAGAATAGTTCATAATCAATCCCATTTCAAGTTCTGCATGAGAATATGTACTAATGAGGGATTTAAACTCTTCTAATTAAACATGATTTTTTTTTTTTTTTTAAAAAAGCCAAACTGATAATTAAAATAGTGAGAGTAACACAGAGAAGCATAAAAGGAAGGGAGAGGGAAACCCCTACAAGAGGAAGCTCTGTGCTTCTACACAAAAATTTCATGGATAAATTTATACTGTTTTCTCTATGAAAGCTTATCACATTGTCCACCTACCCTTTTGCTCTACAGAAAAGTCATGATTCATGTATGGAGGAAAGGGAGGAGCAACAGAGAAGAGGCAACCTGCAGCTTCAGGCTCACATGTACTCTGGGATTAATAACTGTAATACAAGAACTTGGTTCAGGCCTTTGATATAAAGTAATCTATCTCTTCTCTTCAGCTTTTGAGGAGAAGGGAAGAAAGAATAGATATCCCATTCACTCTGCCACAGACATTGTTTATTTTGACCCTGTTCACTAAGAGAACTCCAAATATTTTTTTCTCATCATAGTATAGCAATAAAATCCAACAATGTTAATCATAACTAACAACCTCTTTGTTAGTCAATCACAAACAATTACAACTTGGTTTTCACTTGGCCTTTGAATGATATGCCAGTTGAACAACAAGGAGTTGGGCCTGAAGAAAAACTCAATCTAATTTAAAGGCAGTTAGTTTATATTTTAAAATATCTTTCTGGGTTATTAAAATTATTCTGGGGGTATTAATATGACCACATCTGGCCTTTCCTGGGGCCTTAGCATGTCCATTCATGACTTTAGTCAAACTATATCAAGTCCCTTCCAGAATACGTCATCTTCTTTTTGGACATTTATTGAAAGAAAAGCCCTTCAACTGAACAGTTCCTCAACAAAGGGAACATTTTGTTCACCTTTCACTTTTTTCCTTAGTTATACTTGTTAATCATATTAATAGTGGTATCAATAAAGACCCCCACACACCATGATAGACTAGTTGTAATGGGTGAAGTTGGTGGAGTAAAAATCTTTAGAAACTACTTGTGAGGAAATCTGCAAGAAGATGACTGTTTTGTCTAATCCTATGTAGCATCCTAAAAGTTGATAAGTTACAACTCTATTGAGCACTCTTTCAGGTTTCTACTAATGGCTCATTGGCTTATTCTTTTGGTTTGGGGCCTTTTTTAAAGAGCCCTGAGGAAAACTTAGATCAAAATTATTGCATGGCTAGATTATTAATACCACCATGAAGGTTAATAAAAGGAAACTAAACTGGACAAAATGAATAGGAGTAAAATTCAAGACAAACACCAATATGGAGAGGCATAGACTTCTATCTCTTTGTTGCCCTCTAGTGGCCAACTAGATATTTGCAGTCTCAATCAGTTAGTCTTTGAAGTGTTATTGTAGTCACTAATTAATTAATGTCACTAATTGGGGTTTGAAAGTCCATTGTTAAGCAACACCCACTTAGTAACAGTAGTTCCCGTAGTTCCAGCTGTCCTTGATGAAGAAGAGCATGCACTCATTAAGTGAGGATCTAATGCGATCACAACTTGCTACTGTATACTGGCTTCCTTGTGTGACTTTGCTTATTGGAAGGTAGCAGGGAAGCAAATCACATGATTGTAGGAACATGCAACAGCCAGAATTCTGAAGCCATAACTAGCACTAGAACTTGTTCAGTATCATCATAAGTTTGAACAGTCCCAGAACAGTGGTTTTTAAACAAGGATCACCTGTCTTGGTAAGGAAGACAAATGCATACATTTTCAACTGGTTTTTGATGTGATCCTTGGAGAAGATGGCCCCTGTCTTACTTATCCCTACATTAGTAAAAGTCCGACCATAAACTCTGTGTGGAACTGCCTCTGAAGAAATTCCAGAAATTTAAATTTAAAGTAGAATGAGGCTAGTTGGATTTTGTGTATTGAATGAGTAGTTGGATTTTGTGTATTGATAGTACATTGATTGCACTGGAATTCTGGAATATTTCTGATTCCATTTTAAAGTACTTGTTCCATTATCAGTCCTTCCTTATACAATATGTTCCCAACTTACTTGATGGCCATCAACCATCAACATTTCCAGATTTTAAGATCAACTATAAAGGATCTGTTCATTTTATTTAGCATCCCCCTTATGACCCAGTCACTTTTAGCCCTGTTTGCCTTTTGGGAGGTGTTCTGTGCTGGAATTATTCACTGCATGCCAACAAGGCAGCAAGCCTGCCACAGCTGAGAGATAGCTAAACTCAGGCAGAACTTCTAGAAATAAATAATCTTTTTACTTACAAATAAGGACAGCAACTGTAATGTGGCCAAAAGCTTCACATAGGTCAAGACCAGAAATCCAATAAACAAACAACAAATCTTAGGCAAAAAAATGAGCTACATGAAATGGAATTCATAGTTCATAATATCAACTTGATAAATTGTTCTTCCCATTTTCCCTCACGAAATAAGGCCAATAAATAAATTAGATTGAGTCACCTCCTAAATGCACAGCTGAAGCATCTTACTTATTAGGTTTTATTCTCCTGCTGTCCAGTTTCTTGGCCAGTCTATCTCACCTATGAAGTTCAGACTTCTGTTATTGGATCTTTAAAACATGGGTCTGTTTGGGACTGAATGGCTGGACTTCAGAGTCTGAGAGGCTGTCAGTGGGTATAAGCAGAGAGCCCTGGGGCTGCTGATTTGCCTTAGTCAGAGGGGAGTAATTTGTTTAATCACTACTAGACTCACCCCTTTCCAGATCTATTATCCCTTCATGTCTATGGATTACCTCCTCCTCCTGGAAAAACAAGTCAAACAGGACCATAACAACTCTTATTCAAACATTAGGAGAGGCATGACTGGCATTTATGTGCTTGTATGTTGTTATTAGATTATGTAACTTATACTGTTATTGGGCTAGTACATTTGAACCATTAAAGCCTATGATCTTTCCTATTATCTGAACTTTGTCCTGCCATTGTGACACTTGTGCTAAATTTATAACATGCTAGCATTACATAGCATCTGTCCTTTAGTTTTGGAAACATTTTACAATCTGCTTAAGAAAAATCAAGAAACAACTTTCCAATACTGGATTGACTGCCTGAATGAAGTATTTACACCACATTTGCCTTTTTTAAGTTGTTGATAACCTGAATACACATTTTCACACTCACAATTATTTTCCTTTCCAAGTGACAAAGTGTGTCTTCCTACCTACCATCTGTGCCCAGATATTTTTGACCAAACTTGCTGCAGCTGACACAGCAGGGGACATTCTGCACTGCCCACTGCATGAATAGAATTGGAGGGATGAAAGATAATTCTTTTGTCGACCTTACTGAGATTTTGAGGAGAATGGGTAGGAGGAGGAGAGCTACTGTTATAATCCAGCACAGAATTAGATCTATTAAATCGTAATTGATTTGTGAGTTTAAACATCCTTAAGTTTCTGCTGGA